GGGGGGGGGGGGGGGGGGGGGAGAGAAAGGCCAGATGGCCTCAACGTGGTGGTAGGGTGAATCAGAAGTCTTGTACGCATTGTTTATCTAAACCCTTTCTTACAACTTTGTGCCGTCTCGCAGTTTTTATAACAGCCACTCAGGCATCATGTGTAGCCTCAAATTCCCTAACGAACATCAACATCACATAGAGGCCGATCAGGCACACTGTATCTCGTATGGTTTACATATTAGTGTCTAGGTGTATTCGTCGAGGATTCGGACCCGAGCAAGCCGGCCCGTTGCGCTGAGTTGAACCGCACCGTAAAAAATAAACGTGCCGTAACACAATGGAGGCGTGCAGCTTCGTTGATCGGCTGTTCACCATACAATGAGCATCAACTAATGGTGCCAGAAAGTTATGCCAGAAAGGATCACGAGTAGGAAATGAGAATTGCATACCCAAAGAGTAAGCAGCCTAGGGATTGTGAGATGGATAAAGTGCTAGGAAAAAAAGGAAGGAAGTAATGAGAATCTTATATGACAGATGGCTATGGTAGGTGAAATGAAGGCATTGAGACAAAGCCAAGGCTAGCACAGGATTAGAATGGAATGTGATGGAATAAGAGCTGGGCAAGCCATATGGAGACCATAGCGAAAATGCAAGAATGCATCCTTTTCGGAGGAGTCGATGCTTCAGTAACGACACTAAAGGAGAGAGTTGTAGAGAACAAGGACGTTTAGAAAGATTATGTGACGATAACAAAGTGTACGAAAAGATAGTATCCGATCTAAGTGAGATGTTAAATGTGAACACCTTGCAGATGAAGGGGTCGGGATCTCTTGAAGCAAGGCACGGACGAAAAAGCGCTGACCCAGTTATTCGTAAAGGGGCTAAAAACAAAAATTTCACCCAGTCTGAAAGATAGTTCAAGTTTCGGAGCTGACCAGGTGTGACAGAACGTTAGTAGACATCCTGGCGGGTGAACATCTGGGAGTTCGAACTAAAGGCAGGGGTGGTAGTCCAGATGAAAAGCCCTGACTGAGTTGAAGCTCCCAATGAGGCCCAATAAGGATGTCGCTTGATTCTGCGCAGTGTTGGAAGAGGCTAGCAGGCAGTCAAATCCTAGTGGCACATAGAAAGAACGGTCCTTTGAGCTTGCTCAGGTACTTCTGCGTATTCTTTCTTCATAATTTAAGCATTTCCAGCTAGTTGGGTGCTCTTTATAAAGAGGAGGAGCCACGTAGAATATACGAGGAGATTAAGTGTCTTGCTTAATTGTCAGCAGAGAGCAGATGAGCTAATCCTAGCGAAGGGGCAGGGAAACCTCTTTTTGCGTGGAAGAAATACCAGATATATGTATACTATATCCTACTTATATAATCGGCTAAGTGTGTCTGTTGGTGTGTTTGTGTGTGCATGTGTGTTTTTCTGACCGGAAATTCATAACTCCTATCCCCATGGACCGAAAGCGTTAAAATTTGGTAGGAGTACAGGCGGCAGGATGGGACCATTTTTATTGGGTGGTAGGACCTGACTCCGCTCAAAGGGGGCGGGGTTGTGAGAAATAAATGTTTGAGCGAAAACTCAACTCCCGTCCCCGTGATCCTGGAGCACCCAAACTTGGTAAGAGTACGTGCGGCAGGACAGGAACACTAATGGTGGGTGGCAGGACCACACTCCGTTCATAATGGGCTTATTTTGAGCGAAAATTCATAAGTTCTGTCCCCGTGGACCTAGAACGTTCGAATTTGGTAGGAGTTATGGGAACAGATGGAAACACTCACTGTAGGTGGCAGGACCAGACCCCGCCTATGGGGGGCGGGGTTTGCGCGAAAATTGACAATTTGGCCATAGAGCGTTCAAAGTATTGCAAGTGCACGAAAATTTCACGGAAACGCGCTTCCTTGGCTCATCTATCCTTTTTTTTCTCTGAATAATCGTCTTTGTGATATTATACAATGTTCTTACCGGACACAGCGAAGATGGCTTTCAGAAAAATCGCTTCCAATTTGGAGCTAATACTGAGGGTGTAGAGCTTTCAAGGAAGAAGGAGAATCCGAAGAGTTATTACGCATAGCATGTTTCTTACAAGCGGAAAGCGATTAAAAGCAAGCGACCTCAAAGAGCGATTGGAAGTTCTCAGTTCAGTTCCAAGCATGAAAGTGCTACCCAAAGCTGAAGCCAGTCTATGGCTAATCGAACAGGAGAATGGAATTCCTCGCAGCAGTTTACTTACAGGTCGAATTGGAGGATGACAAAAGTATCATTTCATATTAGCTCGAAGAAAGAATTCGAAGTGATAGTGAGCGTGAGCAGTTTGGAGAAGCTAGGTAATAAAATGTTGATTGAAAAGAACTCAATAAAAGAAAAGAGACAAGGGAACAGGTTAATAAAAGAAAAGGAACGGTGAATAAGGTGGTAGCAGCGGGAAAAATGATTACCCGGAGAGACAGCTCTAGTGGAAGTATTGTGTGAAAGGGAAAGATGTGTCGTCGCAGCAAGAGATCACGTAAGCAAGTTGTGGAGGCAGAAGTGACAGAAGTCAAGAACACGTGATTGGGCATTTCAGATTACTCTTGTCGAGAAAAAGGACGTTTTGTAGTCAAATCACCGCACGCGGCTGTCGCGAAATAGGAAATACTTGCCTCGTTATTGCAGTTCTAGCATTCTTCAAACACCTCGATCGGTATATGATAATTAGTTTTGAGATGACTCTACTGCTATATCTTTCATTATGTATTTCTTACTCGCTGCGCTGCCCGATTAATTCTGCTACATTCTTTAGCGCATGACTTCGCTCTCGCCTCATAGCGATCACCTTGATCGAACTGCACCGCACCCGGACAATTCCATTCTATAATCTTGTCCACTATAGGTTATTTAATGAAAATCAATCTCACGTGGAAGGTGCGAGGGACAAGTCCGCTTTGCGACTCAGGAAAGGCTATACCAGTTCAAAGTGAAGCTGTTTGATTTGGGAATTAGCTCCAGTGTTTCGGAGATGGATAGATTCTGTGCGAAACTTTTAGAAACAAAGAATTTCTTTCGTGTGGATGGCATTACGATCTACATAGCAAGGATGAAAAAAAGTACAAAGCTATTAGGAAAAGTGTACGAAAACGAGAGAGGCGAATTTCTGTCAACATGGTCCAGCCCCAGTTCCAATTATTAAAGAGTATGCTACAACGACGAATGCAGAAGAACTGCGGATCTTCCTCGATTTTTTTACAGACAGTTACCCAAGGGATTCTCCAAGCAAATGGTCTTCTCGGTGAAATATTGTCGAAGGTCGAATGGACGTGGCAAAAAAGCCTTCTTGAAAAATAAGGGCTTCATAAGCAGGGCCCTTGTACTGGAACAACAATACGTTGAAGCAGCACGTACAGAAAGTCGACCATTCATCATTTGAACGTCAACATACCGGCTAGGCGCCGTGCTGTCTCAGGAAAGGGAGGATGAACAAATGCATCCTATTCACTTTGCCTACAAGAGTCTCAGCGAACCAAAACGAAGGCGCCACATCACAGAGTTAAAAGCGCTCGCCGTGTTTTCCGCAGTAGATCCCATACGTTCATTACTGAACTTTCAACAACAGTGATGATTTATCACCAATTCTTCGCAAGTTTATTCAAGAGCAACAGTGTATCGACAAGGGTGCTGAGATGACCCTTCAAGTTGCAGAAGTATGGCTTAGAAAAACAGTATGTGAAATTGAAAGCAAATGCGTCAGAAGCAAAGCAAAGTGCTTGTATAGTCCTGTGAGAACTTGTAAGAGCGCTAATGAAATAGTTACCGATACAGCGATTTCTCATATTTCTAAGATAAGTCATAAATGCTGCGATAGCCAAGAAATGGCAAAAGCCAATTGTAATGCTAATGTAATTGTAATGCTGTAAAACAATGAGTTCGATGTCACTTGAAGACTTCTTATATTTTTAACTGTATCAAATAGATCCTTTTTTCCTTGAGATCATTGTGCCCTTGCTACATTCTACAGAGCGGCTGAAGTCAATAGTCATCTTCTCGGCTTCTCAGAAAATGTCTTGCCTAATTTTCCCTCGAAAACGAATCCTAGCGTTATCATTGTCGCGTTATTCTTTAAAAATTTAATGTTTTTGATGTGGCGTAGTTTCTTCATCTTTCATGTGGGGATAACGTGCTCTAATATGGAGAAATCAACTCAGATCCCTACTCGCTCAAAACTTGAAATGCTGCTTATCGTTGCCTTCGCTGGGCAGGTTAAGACTTATTCATATGTGAGTTATGCCTTTTTCAATGTTTAATGCTTTACTGCTTTCGATGATTTATACGATTCATGTTCNTTTTTTTTCTGGCGTTTTGTTTTTTTGTTCTGCACTGCTTGGTATGTCATCATGCGTTTGAAATGTAGTAAAGCAGGCATTTAAATGAGGAAACGCATTAAACATCCCAAATTGCAAACGAGCGGGCAGGACTATTTCGAGTCATTGTGGTCAAAGAGAAAGCTGAGCACAATAAGGTCAAGAATAATTTTTAGGGAGCATAGGATGGGGGAGCGGGTACAGCTAAGGGTAGTTGTTGTAAAGCTAGAGAATCGAGGATAAATTTTGTAAGATATAGTGGTGTAGTGTTGAAGAGTGCCAAGGAAAAGTGCCGTATCCAGTATCAGTGTCAAGGCACTAAGATTAACGAGGCTGAAGCATATGACGAAAAACCTTTTAGAGGTTAGATAACATCTGAAGAGCAGTGTCACTACCCATAGGGAGAGAGCTGACTCTTCCGCTGAGACCGCGTCTCTGAAGGATATGAAGCGTCGTAGCCCTCCCTGTACGTTAGAGCATAAAGAGGAGTTTTGAAGATGGCGTGCATTTCTGTACCGACTGAACAGAATTTATTTGTAAGATCCCGTCCATAGCGAATTATGAGGTCATAGAAAATAACTGCACAGTCAATTTTCAGAGTTGCGCTTTTGAGAGCTTCAAAAAGAAACTTGCGAATGAGTTCGGATCATCAGAAGGGGAAACACGGACCCGTAGGATCTGCAGCCCCGAAATCATTTCTGCTTTTGGAGAAAGATGGGCTCAAGGGGGACTCATTACTGAACTAGTCACATCATACTACGTCAGCTTCAGAAAAACGTCGTCGATTGGAGCACACTGGGGTCCTGGATGGTAGTGCTTCTACAAATGGAAGTCAATGGAGACATTATGGAGAATGCTACATGTGACTTTCCTGAAACTAGGGGGTGACTCGCAAGTCGTTACGGTCAGTAGCACATAGAAGTGCTAAGTGCTACGAAGCGCTACATGGGAGCAGGTGCTCCAGAAGCAGAGAGGCAGTGCTACAATGCATAACGAGGAGTGGTAGCCGCAAAGTATATTTGTATGGTCATTTGCAGAAGGGAAGGAAAGTTCCAGCTCTCAGAGTTGAAGCTCAAGAGGCGAGCACAACCACTAACTAAACGGCGGGGGGGGGGGGGGGGGGGGAGCAGTTAGATAGGAACAGGGAGGGCGATGCCCAGGAGGGCTTTTGCTGAAAAGGAAGTCCTAATGTAAACAGTTTACTGGAGCTCCTTCCTGATGCCCGTCCCTTGCTGGATTTCTTCCATTTTTTGGATATCTCAACTCTTTTCGATCTTACTGAATGTTTGTCGTGTTAATATATGTTTGAACTTTTAAGAGTCTATTTACGAGTCTATTTACAAGTCTAAGGACATGCTACCAAAAGATTTTTTGCGGCCTGGAGTATCCAACATTTATGAAACTAACCCTGTCGCGGACGTAATTGTTGATTACATTCAGTGCCTCCACCTGTGTTTTCGACATCATCGGAGCTTTGCTCTGAGCACTTGCACTTGTCGTGTAGGCCATTTGCTCCGCAATGGAAAAGCCAGTCAGATCGAAGTAGAGAATCCTTTCTGTAAAGTGCAACTCAGCTAGAAATCTCAAGTGAACCCTTACCCCTCCGACCACTCGTACGGGTTCTAGATTTGCCTTGCACGAAATCATGCAGACTCGGTAACACGGTTGATATTTTCTTTTCTAGATTCGAAATTCCATGCTCATTTGCAGCCGTTATTGAATGCTAAGAAACTTAAGTAAAAATTCACATGATCAGAATTCCAAAGATTTCTGTCTTATATTCGAAACGTAAGCCATCGCATCCAGAAAGAAACTAGTAATGCCTATTTTCATGTAAAATTTCAAGCAACTTGCAGTATTAGGTACCCTTTCAATTGGGTAAAGGTCCAACGGTTGTACTTTATACATTCAAAAACATTAAACCTTGTCTATCGTATGTACTGCGATTTGTACTGACACCTTCATCACTTGAGTGAAAGACGTCAAATCCTATTGTTGCAATCATACCGTTGTCAGCATTCCGTAAACAAATCTTAAGCAACGACTGAACAATCTTTAATTATGAGATAATGTTCCAGATTGGTGAATATATCTGTGAAATCTGGTGTATGAATCTTTAATTCCGTAGAGTGCATTCCGTAGCTTTTTACTAATACTAATACTGGAAATGAAGGAATAACTTTTGAACGATCCTTCCCTATTCCTCATTACTTTGATGTATTCGATGATATAAGATCTAGTGATATCTGAAATATCGCGGCCTTCTTTTGCTAATGGTTTCGTGCTGCCAGTAATGTTTACAAACTTTATAGGTTTCTTGTGTATTTTGGATAAAGCTTAAATGCTTGGGATTGGAGCTTTCTCTGGTATGCCGAGTCTGCTGCGTACACAATGAGATTTATGTGTCGGTATCAAATTATAACCATTATTTGATTCTGCTATGTGATAAGTATTGTTAGTAGCATTGTGAATTATTGTGTCATCGTTCGTGGGTGTTGCAATTCATTCCCACTTCTTTCATAATAGTTTTTAAATAATGTTTTTGCAATCTTACCTTATTGATAAGTGTGTATCTCGTTACTGGTACACGCGGTTCAATATTAAAATCTCCAATTGTTCATTAGTGAGAAGTTTATTGTTTATTGTTTATTGTTTAGTACGTCATTCGACATGCCGTCAAAAACATAAATATAACTTAGAGACAAAAACTCAAATTGAAAGAACTAATTACCGTATCAAGTCAAAAGATACGTAACCACCATCTAGTCATTCTAATAGTATACCTAGAACTGAGCATTGCGAACTAGCAACAATGGTCTGGAAAGCTTGAGTGTAGCGCAAGAGGAGAGCTGAAGAACTGACACAGGGGTAACCAATTCCACAAGTTGTAGAAAGATAATCTAGTAACAATAAGTGTGTAAACCAAGTATAGCAAAGGCACAACCATAAGCAGTTGGCGCAGTTAGCCTCGAAGCAAGAAGCACTTGTGGGAGTGGGACCCCACATCAGCCGGCTTTGATGCCCTTCGCCGCAACTGGGGTCATAGGAACTCGCCAAAACTTCAAGACACGGGTTTACCGGCCACCCACGTAGAAGTTGTTTATTTTTGTTATGAATCTCTACGTAGGAATACGCTGTCCTTTGTCTAATTTTGTCTTTGCTCTTATAAATTTCAGGACCTCTTCATGCTCGATCCGAAAAGGCTATTTCACCTCTTGCCCATTTATCCCTGGTCAACTTGGTTCCCTTTCCCATAAAGTGTGTGGGTCAAAAGACTTGTTCAGTTTCTATTGGTCAACGCCTCCATTAGTGAGCTTTCTCTCAAAAGTACATTTATCCAGCGGATAGGGGGTCATAAGAAGGTGAAATGGAAATCTTCCCCTGGCAAAACATTTCCTTCATTTGTTTTGAGCGCGTCTAAAACTATGACAGTTATTTCCCTTTCGCATTTTGTAGGTCACCATATGCCGGAGTGTGAATCTTGTGTGCGGATATGTTCGAAAGGTGTTCTCTTAGTTTTTTTGCAGTCATTACTCCATACTGTATCCACAACTATCGCAAGTTATGCAATAGATCACTCTTTCTATGTGAGGATTTAGCCCCGACACCTAAGTGTCAATATTTAAGCCTCTTTGAGAGACCGTGTTAGTGCCTGTTATACTGGTGGTTTTAGAACCTATTATTCCAATTCATATCAGCGAAATCGTTAAGAACGGCTACTCATAGTACTGACTTTTGTGGAACCCTTTTCTATATTTTAGTATTACAGTATGATGAATGAAAGTAGAATACAGGCCCCGACGGGATCTCCCAACTTCTATAGAAAATTCGGGACAACTTATAATATTAATATCGATGTTAAGCTTTTTGCCTTGTTTTTTGAACTATACTCTAAGCACACGAGCTGTCAAACCCATAGACAGAGAGAGATTCGGCAGGGTTGCTGTCAGGGGTAAGATGACTTTATGTTCAGGTCTAAGTGCTCCACCAGGAATGGTAAGTACTGAGGAACGACATGTGCTGAAGCGGCGAGCCTTGACCTCTCTTGTTACCTGTCTAAGCCCTGTCGGTATCAATTTTTTTGGCAAGATGTATGACCTTCTTTACAAGGTGTAATTGTGGCTAGAGACTGTGTCCTTGAAAAAAAGAAGAAAGATCAAAATTAGGAATCGAAAGAAGGGTTATTGTGTGTAAGCATTTAGGGCTACAGGATACACAACAGGCGAACATTTCACCAGCAACATGATAGATCACTATGGAATGAGGAGGCCAAGAGAAAGAAACGTTTCAGAGGCGGGCCACTCCCCAAGCGCGGTGGGTCGTGCTGAACTACCCAGTGGCGGGATGCAACCCCAGGCGGGTACGGTAACAATTGAGGCTTGTGGCCTACCCGCCTGAAGCATTATCCACCCGCTATATAAGGTGGGGAGAAAGTAGCACCACAGATATTTCTCCGCTGAGCAGACGCCAGTCCCATCCGCCGGGCCGACACCGGCCGCCTGCACTACGATCCAGTCACCACTACCACGTTCCAGCCACCACCAGCCACTGACCAG